TAATAATAATATTAACAACAATAATAATAATAATAATAATAATATATTTATTTGTAAAGCACTTTTCAAAAAACTACAATGATAAAAGCAAACTGAAAACATTTAATATGTAATAAAATACAATTTACTGGACCAGAATAAAATAAGGCTAAGCAAATTCTGATAACATAAAAGAAACACAATTCAGGTATGAATCAACATATGTTCTGTAGTTTTAGACATGCAGACTTATAAGGCACTACAAGGTCACAAATATAAAAACATTAGAAAGCTAAAATGAATTAGTATGATGTTACAACCCATCCTGGAACATACTGGGAGCCAGTGTAAAAAGGGCTTAAAACAGGTGTGAAGTGGTCACCCTAACCACCAGAAAGTTAGCACAGCAGCACATAATGCCATGTAAAACCACAAACTGTAGTTGTTGTACTTTATACTACTGCAGACTGAACAAACGAGACGTAACATGCTAGTTAGTGAGCTTTAGAGGTGCTGGAGGGTGGATTTGATGTTTTAGTTTGCTTTTATCATCGTGTTACCAGTGTCTGTCTCTATCTTCGAACAGATGGTATTCATCTTCTCATCAAAACCTAAGCAACAGTATATCCTGAAATATCAAACTATTAATTTAAATAAAAGAGTTAAACATGAATAAAAATATCTTAAAAAACTATAAAGTGATAAAAAAAATAAAAGATTGGACCAGTCCAGTAGGGTAGGATGATGCTCAGGTGCAATTTACATTTTTACTCCAAAAATTTTAACGTTATGAAGGTTCTAACAATGGCATGTATTGCGAGGTCAGCAAACATGTGCAAGAACACAAGTTCTAGCTGACTCACATACACACATATGCACACAGTACCATTCCTATCAGTGCTTCATTCTGGAGAGGAGGATGCCTACGGGGACTGACTACACAGTCAAATGATACAGCAGTGCAACTGCAGTGTGTCATATGAACCATCCCTAGGGACTTTTCTGTTTCTGGCTATCCGGGCTGTAGACTACATAAACCACTGAAACAGCAGGTCATTCTGGTCCAACATGCTTTCCTGCTTTGTGCATGAAATGTGGCATTTCATCAGCCTATCTCCCCTTGACATGGTATGCGTGGCCTCTAGCCTCAGTGCACGTAGCTGTACAAGAAGTGCTCATAGCGGTTGTGGCAGTTTCAAAACTCAAGAGTTCAGTCATGAGATACAAAACATCAGTACAAAGTGATAATCGCATGATAGATGCTTTAAGGGATGATCAGGAGGGCGATAAACCCACCTTGGTGATGGGAGCTTCTATAGTCATGGAGTGGATTCGGGCCATTGAGGAGTGCCTTCGCTGTGAGCTCCCTGGCGGGATGAAGAAAAAAACACACAAAAACATCCCATATTATAATTCAACAACAAATTAAGCTGCAGTTTTCCAACCACTTTCTAATGAGTGTGTTTGTGTGTGTGTCCAATCAACACTTGATGCAAACAAACAACTGGGAAGGTTTCATGAGCTGACAAGAAACGCCCAGAGTTTCCATTATCTATCTCCCTTCACTCTCACCATCGCTCCCCCGAGATGTTGTTGATCTTACGTCCAGAGAGCCTTTCCTCCGATCTTTGTGCTTACTGGATTGGATGTCTGAGGAGAAGAAAACACCTTACATTAACACTTACACACACACACACACACACACAAACAAACACAGTTCATGTTCAGTGACAAGGAGGACTTCATCTCAACATCCTTGGGGATGTGAGTCTCACAGATTGTGCTTGAGGAAAATGTGCAAGACCCAACAAAGTTAAATTCTAATAATTCTTTTTGCTATTAAACATTTTGTACATCAGAGAAGCTCCTTGGAAATACTCCAGTACTTAGAATTACATTGGAATTATCAAGTCAAATCCACATAAAATAGTAGATATTATATTCAATTTATTTCATGGAGAATAAGGCTGGTGCTATTCTGTAGCTTTCTTATTGTCAACAACTACCACAAAAAGATAGAAAAAACAGTATTGTATTAGTCTATCTCTCGATACTTCTTGACTTCCATACAACACTCAGCCTCAAGCCTATTTGTTCCTAAATCTGTCAATCTTTTAAAACAGGTTAAAAATAAATAGTTTCATTTTTTTTAAATAGCAAGTAATTAGAAGTAAGCCATGCACTGTAGTTTCTAGCAAATCATGTGTAAACAGGACTAAATAGTGCATTTGGTGGGGACTATTTTCAGCTGTTGAGTATTTGACAGCAAAATAAACTACAGTGTGTGTGTTCATGGTAATGAAGGGACATGTCACCCAGTGCAAAATTGTGATTAACTGATGTGTTTTCAATAGTTTTTTTAACATCAGTGGTCTATAGAGGAATAAGATATATGATATTTTGGCTACACAGTACTTGTGGGCAGGATCCACTCAATTTTGGGTTTTGCCTTTTCATGGAATTTGTCAACAAGAAAAATATAGAATTTGCCAGACTAAAGGTTTAAAGTTTGTGAAAAGGCAATTGTCTTGGGTTAAACAACTTGTCCTCCATAAATGTGCACCTTTGTTTCAAGTTTCTGATTTAATTTAGACTTTGGATCACGTATATCTTAGACCAAAACAATTAATTCTGTCATTCAAAGGAATTTTACTGTAATCAGGATTTTGTGGGGTCACAGTATAAAGTGAGACAGAAGTGGGCAGGAAACTTTTCTTTGTCTGTTTTTTTCACCTAAAAAGGCAGACAGTTCTTCCATTTACATAATGTATATTTCAGTCTAAAATGACAGAAACATAGAAATTTAATTTTGTTTGCAATCTCTAAATGTGCTTTAAATGTAATAAACATTTAAGACACATTTAAGACACTAACAATAAACAAACAACACATCTATGTAGATTAAACAAAACAAATGAAAAACACATCGAAAGGCCAGAGAGAAGAAAAAGAAAACTTTTTATACATTTTTCAAAATGGCAAATGACATGCATGGTCACCCTTTAGAGCTCCTAATCAAAATGACCCAGGGGACGTAGGGGTGTTTTATAAGAATTACTTGGAAATATACTGTGCTGTAAGACCATACAAATTTTTCAAAGTCATTTCTTTTCAGTGAGCTGGTGAAATAACGCAAACACAGGAGCGATATGATCCCTGTTTTGTTTGCCTGTCAGGAGCGTAGCTGCTGCATTTTGAAATCACTTGCAGCTGTGAATTGGCTTTACAATCGATACCACAATACAGCAAGGAACAATAGTCCAGTTTAGAGGGAATAAAAGCATGGATAACTTTTTCAAGGTCAACAAAAGACAGACTTCATTTCTTTTTTAGATATTTTTAAGCTAGATAAAGCAGGATTGGACACCCTGTCTACTGTTTAAAATGTGGGTCATGATTAAAGAAAACAATGATTTTCTGGCATGGTGCAATACATTTCCTGACATATTTCCAAAGTTCTTGAGTTTACAAAGCTCAGATTCCCAAATGTGATCCATTCTCCAATCTAATAAAAACTATTTATATTGTTTGCAAACTATCACGTAAAATGTGTGTGTCATTTGCGTAACGCTGGAACTGAATGTTGTTCTTCCTAACGACAAACACAATTCTGGCCCTCAGATCCTCGAACCTTGTGAGACACTGTGCTGGAGAGAACTTCCATCACTAATGCTGACAACCTGAACCTTAATTACTCAAATCTGCAAGACTCCACAGTCTTTTGAGTGGTTTAGCATAATAAAATCACCTCATGTTATTGTAATACAGAGAAGAAGTTAAGACCAGGCAGCCTTGCACCTACAGTGGGCATTTTTATGGAGTAGAGAGAATTTCAGTATGGACCTTACCAGTCTGAGACTCTGCCTGCACTCGTTCACTGGTTTTATCACTCTGCATGGACAGAGGAGAAAAGTACATTGGTACATACAGGCCAGAAAAAACTAATTTCATTCATTAATAATCAGCAAAACTGGAAACATATCTCACCTTATTATTATCATTTAAAGGCCAGTTGATAGACACATAGTGTCTGATTTTTCTGTAAATGACAAAAGCCAATTAGTACACCAGGAAAAATAAAGGGATATAAAAGGGATACAATCATTATTCATTCATACATCATCCAGTATAATTATCTGGTTACTGGAAATTACATTTAGCAAGACTGAATGCGCCAGGCCTCAACATATTGTCACTCACCCTCCCTGTCCAATTACAGGTGTGATCTTCACATTTTGCTGAATGCTGTCTCCATTCTTCTTTTTGGCATAATAAATCCCCTGCCACTCCTGGAACATAACAAGCCAGAACAGAGAGAGAGGAAATGAAACATACAGAACACATTTAGGATCCATTCACTCATCTTAGAAATTGATAACACATAAGATTTGAAAATGTCCTAAAAGTGGTGTGTGTGGATTAGGTGTAGCATGGCGGTGTTTGTGGTGCAGGTTAGGTGGTGACGTGGGATGGGGGTCAGAGTATTTCAGAGAGCAGAAAGTTGCTTTAATGGGTAGGGGGAGCGCTCCTGGAGTCCAGACTGCTTGTTTCATGTTCCCCCCACCTACAGGCTGCTGTGGCAGCTTAAAAAGACCTTTCCTGCTGTTAGCCGGTCTGGGACTGACCTTCGCTCTCTGTGTAGTAAGATTACAGCACAGCCATCAACCGCTGTTCTTATGCACATGAAACAAAGCTGCTGGATAGCCAGTGGTGCAGACTTACAGCACACATGGATGCACGTGCACGCATGCATGCACAGACACAAAGGCAGGAGCAGATTTCATTTAGAGTGATCTAATTGTGATGCAATAGTCTACAATGACAACTATATAACATGTCAAAACAATGTATTTAAGAGTGTCATTTCATTTCAATCATTTATTACCTGATGAGATTGAGTTCATGATTAAGTTAATAATACAGAAAAGTGTCTTTGGCCTGAAATGTATAGTACAGTGTGACAAAATGAGACGATTTAATGCATTCATATTACCTTTCCTTTCCGTATGCAGGAATTTATTGTTTCAAGGAGATCAGGCTTATTCTTCTCACTTTTAGGCACTTCTATTATTTCCTTCCCTATTAGCTCGCCTTTTTGGTAGCCCATAATGGACTCATAGGCAGGGTTCACGTACTGTAGAGGAGAAGTAACAGTAGTGTTAAGGCTTGATCTGAGATGGTCATCTACTGTTTGTAAAATCCACAGTGAGTTCAGACACAGTTAAGATGATGACCTCTAACAATATGAACCTTGCCAACCAAAACAATGGGTTTTTTAAAAAAGTGGACACATTTGTTGCTTATTTCATGGAGGTCAAAAACATATATTTTATGTGAAAACATAACGTGATAACACAGGCTACAGTGCTTTGATGTTAACAAAAGGGGCCATTCATAGGGACAGAGACCGCAACTATCGCTACTGAGATCTAGGATCACAAGACATGAACAGGCACTAAAACAGGAGAGAGAGAGAAGGAGGGGGGGACAGAGAGGGAGAGAGAGAGAGATTAACCGTTCATCACCATAAAGCAAGTAGAAGTATTTAACTTGATTAGAGGACCCACCTGAATTACTTGATCTTCAGAAGTGATCTCTATGGCCTCTTGGCTTTGTTCTAGAGCTGTGAAAATAGCATTTCCAGCCCTTGTACAGGTAGAGAGAAAACAATAACAGAAACATTGTTAACATGTGCAACAAGCAGACTGTGTAGAGAGTCCAGCATCTATATACAGCTTATACACAACCCAGAATTGTACAAAGTGGATAATCCTTCTGATGCCTTGCAACAGCTTTGAATAGAGGTACTATGTAACTAATCTAAACTATAACTTTAACACTGTATAATACACGACTCACCTCAGTTTGAACTGCGCCCGCACCTCTCCATGCTCCAACTGTAGCAGCTCATTATAGCAGGCCATCATATTGGCATTCTCCACATATCTCTGAGGGTCAAGAGGGCAACGCCAAGCATCATGGATCAATCAAAATTTTCACAACAATGTATCCATCATATGATGTTATAGTGTTGTTAATTCCATGAGTAGCAATGATTCAGGTATAGGGAACTCGATGCACATGTCTCCTGAGCAAACAAAGAGGATTTACAATCTGTACTCCTGCCTTACAGTGAGTGTTGACAGTAGGGATATAAAAAAAACGTCTAAAGAATAATACAAATACAGGCAGCAGAAGTCACATACACACATTCACAGACAGTATTGCTCACCCTATTAAAGCCGGCATTGATCAGGGGCATCACAGAGGCTTCCTCTCTGTCTGGCCTTAAAAAGAGAACACATGTTAGCATGCAAATCGCTATGACAAATGCTTGTTTAGAGAACATCAGAGGTTTGCTTCATATGACAGGCTGCAGGCCTACAGACCTCCACTGAGTCAGGCATTTTAATACTGACAATACTTCTAATTACTAGCTACTTAAAAAGACAGGGAGTAGAAGGACAAGAAAGGGCAGAACCGGAGAGGGGGGGCAGCGAGTTGTACGTACCTTTTCACAACGGCGACTATCACAGTGTTTTCTGAAGAGTTGACCGCTCTAATTGACCTGAATGTAAACAGAGGAAGCCTTTTAGCCAGTGAGCAGGCTGGTGGAAAAGCCCATGGCATCAAACCAATGTATTTTTCAGTTTTTCACGCTCCGATTCTCCCAGGCAGGCAGAGCCCAGTGGTGGAGCTCTGTGAGCAGGCCTAGGCCTCTCAAAGAATGCAGTGTACAGGGCCACTCATCCGCCTGTGGTTTTCCCCAGCCAGTGGTCATAAAGGCCCTTTAGTTCCCCATCGGAGCCTGTGCGTGTACACTGAACATATGGATTGGCCAAAATGAATAGGGTTAACATACACACTGGGCAGGGCAAATGAATGTTTGTAAATGTGTTTTCGGTTTGGGCAGAGGCTAAAGATAGAGGGTGGTATGGGCAGGCACCGCTCATTTCTCACAGACATAACTCCACTAGGTAGCATGCGATGGAGGCTAGTGAGCCCAGAGTGAGCTGGCCATTTACCCCTGCTGTAGCTCAACTAATTTAAATAAAATTTTAATTAGATTTAGATTTGTTTCTTTAAATTCACCTAGTCAACTGTAACACCTGAATATAAGATGTTGTGATTGAGAGTGGGGGGAAAGTATTTAACAAGTAAGCAGGGAAATGTAAACAAAAGTAATTAACAAATGGTTGAAACAAAGCTAAAACTAATAGATAAATTAGACGGCTAGGTCATGGATTAACATTTGAAATAAATAGTTAAAAGTAGTGGATAAATGGTTGAAATAGGTAAAAGTGATGGATTAATGATTGAAATCATTCAACTTTGACCACAGTGGTAGTACGAATGAAAACTTTACCGTACTGACATAACAGCTGGCAGTTAAATTGCATGAATGTTAACAATATTGACTTGTATATATATATATAATTAATAGTCTTAAACAGCATTCAGCTTAAAATCTGTTCAAATGTACACATTTGGAAAATGACAGGTTTCGATAAAGGGGTGCTTGAGTTCGTTGGACCAGGCTGGGGGTGGTACACCAGAAAAATAAAAAAGGCTGGGGACCACTGCATTACATCATTTTAGAAATTCAACATAAAGTACGAGTACATAAATGATGAGAGAACTGGCCTACCGGCATAGTGCTTCAGCGTCAAAGTGTCTGGAATGTCTGTGGTCAATGATGACGAGGTCATGATGCTTCTCCAAGAAGCATTCAAGAGCCGACTCCGGTGTTCGTGCCATGCTGCACCTGAAGTTGGCCTTCTCACATGCCCAGCAGAAGCCATTACTCTGACTGTCCTCTTTGGCAAAAACTAAAAGTACCTGCAAAAAAGAGAGATGACTAAGCGAACATATGCAACAGATTCATATTTTTTAAGTGACCTCTTACAATGTCACACTACTACTTCTACCAAAAATATATTACTTTATCTAAAATTTGAGTTTAAGAGAGCTTTGCAAAGAGCTATGATACATAGGGAGTGCAAATATAATAGGCTATATACAACGATCAGCCATAACTTTATGACCACCTGGGCACCCTTACGCAACAAACTGTGACGCACGGTGTGTTCTGACACCTTTCTATCATAACCAGCATTAACTTTTTCCGCAGTTTGTTGGATCAGACCACAAGGGCCAGCCTTCGCTCCCCATCAGTGCATCAGTGAGCCTTGGCTTTTCCTTTCTTGGACCACTTTTGATAGGTACTGACCACTGCAGACCGGGAACACCCCACAAGAGCTGCAGTTTTGGAGATGCTCTGACCCAGTCGTCAAGCCAT